GCAGTACATAAGACATTAAACGATTTGTGTGTGAAAGGCATAATTGAACCAATTCAGTCTTCAGCATGGGGTACTCCTATCGTTACGCCACTGAAGTCGGACGGCAAGACCCCTAGAATTTGTGGTGACTATAGATTAACTCTGAATTCCCGTTTGTTGAAGCAAACGTGCACGACGGTAGAAGCTGAAGATATTCTAAATCGACTTCATGGTTCTAAAGTGTTCTCGAAAGTTGACCTAAAAGATGCTTATCTTCAAATTCCTTTAGATGAATCTTCATCTATTTTGACGACAATTAACACTCCTTTTGGTCTGTTCAAATACAATTTCCTTCCATTTGGTCTAAGTTGTTCTCCAGCCATATTTCAGGAAGTTATGAATAAAGTAGTTAGTGATCTTGAAGGTGTTGAAGTTTATCAAGATGATCTCATTGTTCATGGCTCTAATAAGGTAGTTCATGACCAGAGACTTATTGCTTTATTGCGTCGTTTAATTGAGAAGAATATTACAGTGAATCCAAATAAGTGTTCATTTTGTGTATCTAGTTTTGAATGCCTTGGATACCTAGTTGATGGTAATGGTTTTAGACCAGATATGAAACGACTAGCTCCACTGACTAATGCACCGTCTCCGAAAAATCTTACAGAATTACGTTCACTAGTGGGTGCTCTTCAATACTATTCCCGTTTTATTCCTAATTTTTCTTGTCGTGCAAATTGTTTATTTAATATTTTAACATCCAATTCATTCAAATGGAGTGAGGAACAAGAGTCATGCTTACGAAGTCTGCTGAAGTTTCTTCAAAGTGATGCTGTTCTTCGAACGTACTCCCCTAATGTACATTCTGTGCTTATTACTGATGCATCACCTGTGGGAATTGGTGCAGTTTTGGAACAGGAAGGTAGACCAGTTATTTGTGTTTCACGCAAACTTACTGTTACTGAACAAGGTTATTCACAGACTCAGCGAGAAGCATTAGCTGTGTTTTGGGCTGTTAAAAGACTTCATAAATATTTATTCGGAAAGAAATTCACTATTGTTACTGATCATGAAGCTTTAAAGTTTATTTATCATCCCGAAAAATCCTTAGCACGTTCCTCAGCAGCTATGGTTCAGCGATGGAGTATTGCTTTGAGTGCATATGACTATACGGTTCAGCACAGAAGTGCCAAACAGATTCAACATGTTGATTACATTTCTCGACAGTCATTACAAGATAAACCTATTAATACTTCGGATTGTTTGTTAGTGCAACCTTTACCAGTGAGACGTTCAGATCTCATTAGAGAAACTCGTAGATATTTTGGATGTATACTCAGTGCTATAAGGAAAGGTTGGAATGCTAATTTGAAACGTAGATTTCCTATCTATTTTTCAAAGCGGGATGAGCTATCTACTACTCCTGATGGTATTCTGTGTTTAAATGATCGTGTTGTCATTCCTCCTTCATTGCGTAAATCTGTTCTTGAAGATCTTCATAGTGGTCATTTAGGTGTTGAGAAAATGAAGTCCTTGGCAAGGCTCACATGCTGGTGGCCAGAGATAAATGCAGATATATGTCGTACGGCAAACAATTGTGAGAAATGTCATCAGTTGAAAAATCATCCTTCGAAGTGGGTGCCATGGCCAGTATCGTCTGAGGCCTGGCAGAGGATTCATGCTGACTATTGTGGACCATTTCTTGGTAAATACTACGCACTAGTAGTCATTGATTCTTTTTCAAAGTGGCCTGAAGTTTTTTTCACAACTTCACCAAATTCTGATTTCACAATACAAGCATTAAGAAAGGTGTTTAGTCGAGAAGGGTTCCCTTGGTGTTGGTGACTGATAATGGCTCACATTTTGCTGCAGATGCAGTCACTACCTGGTTGAACGGTATAGGGTGCAAACATCTATTTACTGCTCCCAGACATCCGTGTTCTAATGGTCAGGCAGAGAATTTTGTTAGGACATTAAAGACTGCTATTGATTCTATAGCCCCCTCAACATTTAATGAGCTGGAGAGGGGAGTAGATACCTTTCTATTGCAATATAGAAATGCCAGACATTCGGTGACGAAGGAGACTCCAGCGAAGCTATTGAAAGGAAGAATTCTTCGGTCGAATATGAGATGTTTGGAGTCTGCAGAAGTTACATACTATCGAGGAAATGATCTTCGACCATCTACGGGTATTGTTCTGAAGAATGTCGGAAAATCGATGGTGCGAATTCTAGACATCGATGACTTAAGTACACACAGTCGACATGTAGATCAAATACAATTTCAGGAACCAGGTGAGTCAGTTCCAATTTCGATTGTTAATTCTAATGCTAATGAGCATATTCTAGATAATACAGAATCCTTATCCAATACAATGTCAGACAGACTCAGGATGAATTTGAGAAGACGTACGATTGATTACAAACACCTAGACTCCAATTTAAGCTGTGGCGGATGTGGTGTTTGAATGAACTAATGATACCTTTGTACTGGTTGAATGCTTGATTTCGAATTCTAAATACAATACATTCGTTTGTGCCTGTGTCTTCTTAATTGAATTGCGTTAATCCTGTAATTCCTAGTTCATACGACAATTTGAATACCATAACAATTGTTTGCAAACACTTGTACCTTTTCGATAATGGATGTGGCAGTTCTCTATGTCTTTGCTCCGTACAATATGACTAAGTGTTTTGATGTTCTTACTGAAGATTGTGACTTTGATATTGATTGACAGTTGCTTTGAGTTGCAGATGTTCTCCAACTTTAGGAATACTGTCCTTGATTTTCCAGTCCTCACATTTACGTCTCCATCAGATCTTCCACCTCCATCAATGATGCTTCCTAGGTACGTGAAAGATTCCACCTGTTCTAGAGTTTCTCCAACAAGTGTGATTGGGTTGGTGTTCGCCGTGTTGTATTTGAGGAGCTTGGTTTTCTCCATGTGTATGTTGAGACCTACCGATACAGAGGCTACTGCTACAGTGTTTGTCTTCATCTGCATTTGTTGATGTGTATGGGATAGAAGAGTCAGGGTATCTGTGAAGTCCGAATCGTCTAGTTGCATCCAACCTGTCCGTGCTTCTCTTCAGACATCGAAGTCTTCATGAACCAGTCGACCACCAGAAGAGAAAGTGTGAAAGTAGGCAGCCTTGTCTGACTCTGGCCTTCACTTGGAATGAGTCTGTCAGCTGTCCTCCTTTAAGGGATGTTAGATCCCCAGAACTCACTTGGTAAATACCTTAATTTTATAATTTTATTTCGAAAATTTAAATTTCCTTGTTTTCGCGCCAAAAGCGCACTTCTCACCTTCATGCCGTATTTCCCACTTGGGAGAATCTTTAACGCTATTGGTTCGTTGTGTATTTTTAGTATGCTATTTTCGCTACGCTTCCCAAGGACAGTTTTATGCTGTATGTATACGTTTGATTTGTGTCTGTTACTATTCACTCGTGCTTCTGGCTTATGGAGTATACATTCCCGTTCCAAGTTTGGACTTCTTCCTCCAGTTAGCAGGGCTGGGACGCATCGAACAGCTAGCTTATTGGTCTACGGTCACAAGTCATTGTTCCGTTCGCATACTAAGTAAACTCGTAATAGCTTCTAACCTGGCACCTTCGTGCATCACTTTGCAGTGTAGTCCATCGTATGGATTCTCAAGTACACTATAGTATCGAGGAAGTTCCCATAAGATCCTCCCGTCCACGCTGTCAAACGCCTTCTCATAGTCAACGAAGTTGATGTATAGTGACGGGTTCCACTCAACTGATTGTTCAACGATGATCCGTAGTGTTGCGATTCGATCTGTATACAGCCGATCCTCACGAAATCCGGTCTGTTGATCTAGGAGCTGGGCGTCTACAGAGTCTTTCATCCGGTTCAGCAACACTCTGTTGCAAACGTTTCCTGGTACTGACAGTATTGTGATGCCTCTGTAGTTCTCACATTTACTCACATCTCTTTCCTTTGGTATCTTGATGAGGTGTTCTTCTTTCCAGTCTGTCAGTGGCACTTGTTCTTCCTCCCAAATCCTTCTGAATAGAACGTAGAGCATACCTGCAGTTGCTTTTATGTCTGTCTTTAGTGCTTAAGCTTGTATATTGTCATGTCCTGCTGCTTTTCCACTGTTGATTTGTCTGATAGCCAGCCGTCCTGATTTCTTCGACCGTTGGTGGAGTGAGATATACATCGGAAGGTGTGTGTGTTGCTTCGATGTCCGGTGTGTTCAATTGGGCTAGTCTGTTCAAGAATCTTACAGAGTATCCTACCCACTTGTTCCTCCGTTCTTGAATCTCAGTGTTTGAACTGCCTTCTTTGTCCTTGAACCGTCGTTCTGCCTTACCATGTTTTCATGCCAGTTTCTTCGTTGTGCCATTTAGCTGTTTCATATTTGCTTCTCCCATAGTTTTTTTCGCTCTCGTTGCTAGGTCTTCCGTGTATTTTTGCAACAGCATCTCTCCCGAAACTCCTATTCGGTCCAGCATTGATCCATTGGGTTTCACTTACTCTGAACACCGTCAAGTTGTATTTCCTCATTTCCGCAACTATCTAATCGATCCTCTCGGTCTTCCACACTGTCCAGTCATTCTGTGAAACTACATTAATTGCTGTTCTGGCTGTTAGAAGGGGCATTGGCTTCGTGACTTTCGAAGAATTTCCACTTTCATGAAGAGGCGTCATAATATTTCCTTCAACTTGGAAGGAGTTTAAATGATTTATTTGTTTGTTCAGCATTTACTTAACAAGGTTGTTTTCGATGAGGTAGGAATGCTGACTGAATGCTCAATCGCCCTGATTTATTCGTGAGTAGGACCAGCCGTTACAAAGTAAGAGTAACAGGGGGAGTTTAGATTCATAGGGACATTTGAATTATTGGAAAGTTCGAATTAAGTTAAAGCGAAATTGATTAAACACTTGGAAAATATTATAAGTGCATCATTTACTCGAAATCAAAAGTCAATCACCATTATGTAGTTTAACCAACAAGTGCATATGAAAATGAATAAAACATACGAAAAATATAACCAAATATAATTCGAACAAGCACAAAATGAAGTTACTTAGAAAAAAATGCCACAACTAAAGTGATGAAATTCGAAAAGATAAAAGTTAGAGTCAACAAAAATGAAACTAGGTGAATATTCCATTTACATACTAGTCACTACAATTTTAATCATAGCAAGAATAAATAAAAACGTGCAAGCAAGCAAAACGAAAACACATACACAACAAAACAATAGTGATAAGTTGCCACCACAATTATCTGGACGAAGAAACGGATCATTGAGTGGTCTATCCGGTCAAAATGGTCCACCAATCCACATAATTCTCAATGCAAGTGGACCCGGTTTTGATTACCCACCACGATTATCTGGACGAAGAAACGGATCATTGAGTGGTCTATCCGGTCAAAATGGTCCACCAATCCACATAATTCTCAATGCAAGTGGACCCGGTTTTGATTACCCACCACGATTATCTGGACGAAGAAACGGATCATTGAGTGGTCTATCCGGTCAAAATGGTCCACCAATCCACATAATTCTCAATGCAAGTGGACCCGGTTTTGATTACCCACCACGATTATCTGGACGAAGAAACGGATCATTGAGTGGTCTATCCGGTCAAAATGGTCCACCAATCCACATAATTCTCAATGCGAGTGGACCCGGTTTTGATTACCCACCACGATTATCTGGACGAAGAAACGGATCATTGAGTGGTCTATCCGGTCAAAATGGTCCACCAATCCACATAATTCTCAATGCAAGTGGACCCGGTTTTGATTACCCACCACGATTATCTGGACGAAGAAACGGATCATTGAGTGGTCTATCCGGTCAAAATGGTCCACCAATCCACATAATTCTCAATGCAAGTGGACCCGGTTTTGATTACCCACCACGATTATCTGGACGAAGAAACGGATCATTGAGTGGTCTATCCGGTCAAAATGGTCCACCAATCCACATAATTCTCAATGCAAGTGGACCCGGTTTTGATTACCCACCACGATTATCTGGACGAAGAAACGGATCATTGAGTGGTCTATCCGGTCAAAATGGTCCACCAATCCACATAATTCTCAATGCGAGTGGACCCGGTTTTGATTACCCACCACGATTATCTGGACGAAGAAACGGATCATTGAGTGGTCTATCCGGTCAAAATGGTCCACCAATCCACATAATTCTCAATGCGAGTGGACCCGGTTTTGATTACCCACCACGATTATCTGGACGAAGAAACGGATCATTGAGTGGTCTATCCGGTCAAAATGGTCCACCAATCCACATAATTCTCAATGCAAGTGGACCCGGTTTTGATTACCCACCACGATTATCTGGACGAAGAAACGGATCATTGAGTGGTCTATCCGGTCAAAATGGTCCACCAATCCACATAATTCTCAATGCAAGTGGACCCGGTTTTGATTACCCACCACGATTATCTGGACGAAGAAACGGATCATTGAGTGGTCTATCCGGTCAAAATGGTCCACCAATCCACATAATTCTCAATGCAAGTGGACCCGGTTTTGATTACCACCACGATTATCTGGACGAAGAAACGGATCATTGAGTGGTCTATCCGGTCAAAATGGTCCATCAATCCACATAATTCTTAATGCAAGTGGATCGGGTTCACATCACCATCATTATGGACAGTATGGTAATATTCATCGAGGATTATTTGGACGAGGATATGGATCATTGAGTGGCCTCTCCGGTGAAAGTGGTCAATGTATCTACATAACTGTGAATACAGGCGGATCCATTTCCGATCCATATTTTCCACCACCATTATATGGACGAGGATATGGATCATTGAGTCGTCCATCCGGCGACAATGGTCACTGTATCTACATAACTGTGAATGCAGGTGGATCGAGTACATATTCACATCAATATTTTCCAACACGATTATATGGACGAAGATACAGAACATTGAATGGTCTCTCCGGTCGAAATGGTCCACGTATCCAAATAACCTTGAATGCAAGTGGACGGAATTACAATTACAAAAAATATGGAAAGCAGAGTAATGTTCCACCACGATTATCTGGACGAAGAAACGGAACATTGAGTGGTCTCTCCGGTGAAAATGGTCCACAAATCCACATAACTATGAATGCTAGTCGATCGAGTTCACATCATCATCAATATTTTCCACCAACATTATCTGGACGAAGAAACGGATCACTGAGTGGTCTATCCGGTGGCAATGGTCCTTCTATCTACCTTACCTTCAATTCAGGTGGACAGAATTCAACTGATCATGATCGGGGACAAGAAGTTACTTCACCACCACGATTATCAGGACGTAAATACATGAAAGGTAAAGTGGACGATTTTATCCCTGTTTTAGTGTTCTATGATATAATCCATCTGATCTCACTTACTTGAATATGCAGCACGATCATTTTACTCAATTATTTGAACAAATAAATATTGTTACAATCGGGCACCATATACATATGAGCCACACAATAGCAATGAAGTTGTGAAGAGATAGGAAATGTAAAGCGCGTATATTAAAAGAACAACAAAATAAAGAAATTACTGTTTAAGAGTAAAATTATTATTATTATTACTATAGTGGTTGGTGATCAGGAAAATTATGTGTTGCCTGATTCCGTAGGTTTTCAGACAACCATTTATTACACAGATCTTAAGATTTCATCTTATCAAATAAATAGCACAAATTTGTCGTATAGTAAAGCAAAACAGAGAAACCAAAATATTTTAAGTGACCAAACACGTGGTAACAATCTGTCATCAAATAAGACGAATAGGCAGTCTAATGTTACGACTCGGAGCAAGAGAAATGAGAGGTATAACACGATGTCAAATAACATTGCATCTAAAAACGAAATGGATTCAGACACAGGAAATTTTTCTCATAGTGACATATATTCGGAATTCGAAATAAATCGAGACGAAGCTATGAACAATTACACCTTTTTCGATGCACATCCATTACAGGAATACAATGAATAAGGCGATATTTCAGCTTGATTCACGATTCTCATTAAAGCGTAATATTATTGATCAGTTGAATATGATAATCTTTCGTTGTAAAAGTAGACTGTTTTCTGACAAATAAAGAAGGAACGAATTGAGCGAAGAAATTTCTTTTCAATTAGTTTTCTGACAATTTCTGTTATTTATATTCATTCAGTAGAGAATGGTTCAATATGACAACAACTGAAGTCTGATTATTAAAATCTACCAGATAATTACTGTGAAGTGAATCCCTCTCCCTGATGGGAGAGGGATAGGTAGTAGTCATTATTTTCTATCGATTAATATATTATAAATTGAAACCTGTTTCTACAAATGTGATATAGTGAATGAGAGTATCTAATTAAAAGTATCTAAATGGTCACCAAATTTATACCAATGGTTGGTGGTCAATCGTTTAATCTACAAAACTCAGACGACAATCAATCGATAACCATACTCTAGTTATTGAAAAGTATAGGATTTCTAGTGATCATGTAATATGTGTTAAAATAATTATTATTTCCTCAAAATGTACTTCGCAACTGTGTCATATGAAGAACAAATTTATATAAATACGTATGTTTGATCAGGTTAGCCGAATGCGTAGAACAGTTTGGTTTATTTCCCTTAGTTCTCATTGTGATGGAAGAAAGTATTGTTAATCTTCCTTTACTACTACTAATCAGTTATATGACATTCAATGTAATAACATTAGAGAATACGCAATCCTTTATAGGTCGATCAGTTGAGTACATGTTTGAGAAAGTAGAGGGAGAAGTAATGAATGCAACTCACAGTACTAGCGGAGAAGGCAGTTCGTCCAAAAATAATAGAAACAATTATTATAATAAGAGATTATCAAACAAGGCAGGTGGTAAACGCTATGAAGATATTTTCTCCTCTCGTGGTTATTCAATTTTTGATGATATTGATTCAGAAGCATCTACATTCGAGTATGGTGGTAAAATCACAAAATATGGTAAACGTAGTCGAAAGGATTCCGACAGTATACCGACAATTGGAAGTTCGGATCGATATGCTAGTTCACATATTAAAGATAACTTTAAAATTAAAGCCAAATCAAAGAAAAAGTATGCAAAAGATCATGTCTATGGAACTTACAAATCTAATAAAAAACGTGGAGGAAGAAATACTAATAAAGAAACAATATCGAAAGAATCGCGAAACAAAACCGAAAGAACATCTTCTTAAGCCAAAAACTGGAAAATGGATGTGCAGTTACAAATGCAGTAAATCACCAGATGTGATAAATATATTTTATTCCACATAGAGTCAAATTTATTTATGTATAAAATAATGTCAACCACTATTTTGATAATTGTTAAACAACATATGTATCAGAAAACATTTGAAGTAATATTATCAATAGTTCTTTCAAAACGTGAAAAGAGTTTTACGTTTGTTGCGCTATTTTCTTACCATAAATAGCAGTTCGTGTCTAGCTAGAAGGTACTTTGTATACTGGGGGAGCGTGCAGAGTAGAGTGAGTGGGAAGAGCTGGTAAAGAGACGGTTAAGAGAAAATGTGAGTAAACGATCTAGCAAGCGCACAAAATCCACATACAGTTAATAAGAAAATCAATCGACGAAAACCAACAATAAAATAAGCCAACAATATTGATTTCAATTAGATCATCACCAGGCAATACTGAAGAGTATAAACGGCTAGGGGTGAAGAATGACAAACGAATACGGAACCGTTTATTCGGTCGTATCGGACCAAGGAATGAACAAGGGTGTCAGGAATTTCTTCTGAACTGAAACTAGGCCTGTAGGTCCGGATCCACATAGTTTACCAGATGTGCATTAGACGGGATCGAACTCCATTGGGGAATGACTAAGGTTTACGATAAATTATTCGAAATGATTCACCTTTCTTTATCGTATGCTCACTGAATATGTGAATATTCAGAGATATTAGAGTAAAGACTGATGACCATCTGAGTGAAAACAATATTGTTCGCTCATGCGTTGTTCGAAGAACAGAAGCCTCAGATTGAGACCATCTGGAAATTGAAACTAGAAGATAGTAGGACCAACCATACAATATGATCTTCGAAACGCTAATACACGTTTTCGGTTTGATGAAACAAAGATGAATAGAACTAATTCATAGAGATGAACAGCTCTCAAAACTTTTAGGGAATATAACGTAAGATATTTCAGCATTTTTATTTACTTCATGTCACCTCAGACTCAATATTGCAACTGTAAAATCGAGGGAAGTCTGTGACAACGTTAGGAGGACCTGGAAATTTTCAAGTCACTTTTCTTCTATCGATTATAGGATCTGTACGATTTTAAGAATTTCCTATCAAACAGTGATAAGATCTGTTAGTGATGGCTTTGAGAGCCACTTTAGTTTTCCATTATCTGTTTTCCTGTATCAATAATGTGGAGTTATTACTGTTGTGTCTTTAGGCTCGCTTCTTATCACGTAATTTATTCGCCAATCGAAATACGACTTATTTGCTCTTGTACTGCACTAAACCAATGACGTCCGACCGGTCTTATCAGCCTAGCATCCTATTGGTCTTTCGCTCGTCTAGCCTGTCCAGCTGACTCCAGGATGCCAATAACAGGCTCCACTATGAGAATCATTTCTCTCAGACATACTTGGTTTACACATCACGCAAACAGATCGCATCGTACCATAAAATAGAAAGTAACATTTATACACAATAAAGCCAAAACTTGGCTGTGAATGTAGGAGACAGTATTCAATAAACTGAATATAACTTAAGAACAGTAAATCGTACAATAATAATCTGTAGATCAAAATGAGGCTTATAATTGGAGGCATATAGATTTACATAATCTAGTTAATAAATAATTATACAAAAAAATATATAGATAATATTAGTCCATTAGTAGTTCTCAGAAGTTACTCGTAATTTAATCTTCGCTAGGATATAACAATTATAACACAGCCTCCTTTATCGTATAGTAAACAAATTCTCTTTAAAGCTTTCTGTCGCAATACGTATGATATTCACAAATATCTACACGAAAAATTCAACATCGTAATGCTTTAAGACATTGAGATGTAGAAGCCATATGTGCCAGTTATTGTCGATTTTACTAGTCCTGTCTCCAACTACCTCGGTTTTAGTATAGTGGACAACTTACACGTTCAGTTAATCGATAGTTTACCATGAGCAAAGCTAGGTGACTTAGGTGTTATGCACAATCTACACCTTAAAAGTATGTATCTAACACACTTAACACGATCATTTTCATTCTGTATTGACAAGTAATATCTTAAAACATTCATTTTAGACGATTCGATAACTAACAAAAGTGTTTCTACTAGTCAACTAACACGATAAGAGGAATTATTGTGAGAACTATTATGATGAATTAACTCGAGGGCGTAAATTATCACAGATTTTACATCCGGTTTATCTTCTGCCAGTTCAGTTTCGTGCTTAATTTCGATAACACATTGAAATCTTAGTTTCATATCCTGGATATTCATGGATGATTCACTTCTCCCACAAATAAAGAATTCTAAATATGAAATTCAGGAACAACTGGTGCATTGGTAATACGTGCACTCAATTTAATTTGATCACTTAAAAATTTAGGCATTGACGATCCACTTTAGCAGCAAAGATTTGATTACACACAGTTAACTTGACAAAACTGTGACGGATACTGAGAGATGACAACAACTGACGAAAATGTTTCGCGTGAACATCTGAAAAGGTTAATCAAAAGTGAAATCAGTTAAAAGGTAGGTATACTGTTTATGTCATGGATAAATAAAACTGTTATCGTTGGAAGAATGAAGAAGAAATAAACGAAAGTGTCAACCCACATATTTCTTGTTGTTAACTTAAATAACAAAGTCAATATTATTATAAGCTAAGGTGGATGGTGGTCAGCAAGCATACCCATCTGATGAGTTCTAAATAGGATGAAACGTGCGTCCTGCATATCACTGATAGCCACCATATATCTCTACTTATAATACATATAACTAGATGGCAGAATCGAGGCAATCCGTACAGGATGTACACATACCAAAAAAGAGAATGATCAGTTGCTGTCCTAAATGTCAATGGAATGGTAAATGAATTAGAGTCAATAAAGTAGTGAACGAAGACTTGGTGGATAAAAGCAATTTATCATCTCACACGAAAGTATACAGTTGTCCTTTACCTAATTCATGATTCTTCCAATTATTTCGTTATTCCAACTGCTCTCTGTTTTCCTTCCTGTTCTCTCCATCTCAACCTTATGCTGACAGGCATTCCACTTACGACTGGTGCTACACACTAATTATATCTGACAGCATAAGTAGCATTCGCCCAAATAGTAATTGTGAAATCTGGAAGTATATATCGAAGATGAAGAAGGAACATACACCATACACCATAACAAGTGGGTAGTGTTTACAATCAATAGTTTATCTTCATATCCATCAAATAATAAAGTTGTGGATTACAAATTAAATCACTTAGCATCCGACCATCGTTACGATTTCAAACTGTGATGTACAAATTTCAGCTTGGACAGTTGTAAATTATTACTGAGCTTTACATAACAATTTGGTAGCATTTCAACTGGAATCAATTCTTAACGAATACAACCTACAACTTGAAAACCGACCTCAACAAAACTAACTCAACGAAGTAATAAATCAAAATTGAGAATAACCACTCGATGGTCTAGAGGTTAAGCGTTCGCACGCGAGACCAAGGATCCCAGGTTCGTGTTCCGAATATTGGATCGTGGGTGAGAACTGCTGAGGAGCCCATACAAGGACGAATAGGTCGTTCAGTGTTTCCAGGTTTTCGATAGTGTTCTATTTTAGATCGACTCGTGGTTTCAACTGTGAAATAATAAATGTATACAAATATCCATCATATTCGAACACTTACATTTGAACGAAGAATATTCGTTCCAATAAATAAAGTAAAGGACCAAGGACAGAACCTTGTGGTATGATCTCTAGTTTGTTGGAATAAAGCTAGTACAATAAACGACCAGTTAACTGAATTTCATTTTCAAACACTTCTGACGTTAATCATGTTTCTAGGACAGCAATGACATCCGTGTTTCCCAATATTCACCATTGTCTTGAGCTCTGCCATTTTATATTGCAGGCAGCGAGCATTTGTGCAGCACACTTTTAATTCTGTATAGAACTTTCCCTTACCACCCAGAGTGATTTGGAGATCGTTTTACTTCGAAATTTCACAATTTGAAAACCCTTAAGTACGAGGTATTTTCACCATTTCGTCGGCGGTCGTTTCTTAATGCGGTCAACTAGGCTGAGATCCCCATAGACGTATATTCCGGACCCAATCGGTTTGCGTGAGTTTCCCAACAACAAGTTTCTTTATTCATCCAAAACACGGGTAACCTTTAAGGAGAGGCTTTTCTGAGTGCTTTCAGAATACACTTTATGTCCTGTTCTATGAAGATTACAGATGCTAACTCCGGCAACTGTTTCTGGGAGTAGTTTGCTTATAAAGAAATTAATTTAGTTGAGGTTATGCTCAAATCTATCCTTTGTTCCTTTTCGGAAGATTCTCATAACCCATGAAAAATGGCTGACCTGTCAGTGAGGTCCATCTTAACACGCTATGGAATTTTAATTCCTCAAATCTTCTCCTCCCTGCAATCCGATTTGGCGTCAAACGTAGAGATCTCACTCTGTTTTCTTACTTTTCTTCCACTGGGTACGACTGTAATAAATAATTAAGTAAAATCACAATATATTTGTTCGCCTTCACGATAAACGGTGGAGGTATGATTATTATATCTGGATGCAACAAAACCAGTAACTTATTATTTATAGCGGCTCTCCTACAATCAATTTCGATTATGGTTAATGTTGGTTAAGCTGTTTTATTAATTTACTTAACAGACTATGTTGTTCCAACAGAAAGCATTCGCATATTTGTTTGTAGTATTATCATCATTATCATATCGGTATATACATCTACGCGCGATCACATGACAGACTCAAGCTAAAATATTGATAACTCAAGTTTCGCTTGATGAATCATTCTCTTTCCCATGAACATATGTACTCGAATCCTATTATTAGCTTTTGCCTTGTGCCTAGCTGCGCCTCATTCCATTTGACTATAAATTTGCCTCTGTACTTGCTCGCATACACATTCACCTTTGCTTCAAATTCGCTTGGTGTGCTTATAAGCTTTGTGGTTCGTGCTATTCACTAATAAACTGTAGTTGCTACTTCTTATTGCCTCCTGATTTCAGACACTGTTGGAATTTATATAAATAACGACTCGACAAATAGAAAGGCAATTAAAAACAATAATAATAAAGTTCACAAAAACAATGTGAAAGCCACACTGTGTAACAAATCAGTATTAGCAGGATACGTTAAGAGTAAGAA